AATGACGTGAATCTCCCGTTCCTCCTTTTTCGCCAATTTCTTGACACGTTTTGGAGGTCGAGGAGCTTCACCTCCCATTTCGGCGTCCTAGCGGGGTCATTTGCTTGACGGGGTTTACGCGGCAGTTTTAGTTTTCTTAGAGGATGAGGCCAATTTTTTCTTGGCCACACTCGTGACAACCACGTCTGCTTGTTTCAATACGCGACCACCTGAGAAAGCGAAATCAAGTTAGTAAAATTGAGCAAGTAATCGAAATATAAAAGGAGAAATGATAATATACGTTAGGCCATTTCTTTGGATTGGGGAGCAGGAGCTTTTTTGGGTCGATCGCTGAAGATTTTATTGACCACGTTTTCAACCGAGACACCAAAAAAGTCGCGGGTATACTCGTCCCACCAGTCCCCAAAGGTGTCAGTACCAAGAGATTCAAGAACAGTCGATCGGAGTCGAAATTTTTTACATCTTTCCTAAAACTTTTTTTCTGTATCTCTACACTCTCTTTCTAAGGAACCAGAAAGGTGTCCTCGACTTAAGAGAGATCGAGAAGTAAGTAGGGGCACTGGGCAACCTTGGAGGTAGCCAAGCTGCCGGGTAGCAAAGTGGGGGTAATAAACCTCCCAACTGGCTTAGCGAGCATCACAGCTGAAGGGAAGGTCGCATGTTAACACGAACGACCCCCAGTGTTGACGGAGATCAGCATCTTCAATCTCATCCCATGCTGATTTTGGAAGCCTAATCGAGGTGGGGTATTCTTGACGCCAACATATTAAGAATTCATCATCAGAAATGACGTCTAGGCCGAATAAGTGTTTAAAGACTTCGTCGGCCCGGTGAGGAGGCGTTGGTCGAGAAGCCAATTGAAGGTTGAGCGCTGCAGTAGACTGTAAGACGGGAACCTCTGGCCGAAGTGTGGAAAAATAGACCTGCAGCCAGATTTGGAATACCAGAGGGGTCCGTTCTGGTGCAAGTCAATCTTGTTGATGGTTGTCTCAGCCAGACAACGAAGGAGATTGGCAAAGATAGCTGGACTGAGTGTCAGGGAGTGAACACTAGCTAGAGTTTAAGCCATCGGCATATTTTTGACCAAGCACTTATTTGACTTGGTACAACAGATAAACTTGTCGTACCAGTAAAATAGAAAGGCTTCGTGCTCATTTTTCCGTAAACTAGCCTTCCCTTGGCCAGCAAAATGGAGGATGAAGGTGTTGTAATTGAAAAGGTTCTTGTGCAACTTTTGAACTTCTTTTTTTTAAGATTCCTGACCTTCTTGACTGAGCGTCTCGACGGCCCGGTCATCGAATAGTGCTTTGAGGTCGAGATTCAACGGGCACCCAGAAAGGGCAGCATCTATTGGGAGGCCAGATAGGGAAGTCTTAAGGATAGCTGAGATATCAAGGATGGTGGGGCTGAGATGACCGAAAGGAAGGACCATGGTGTTGATGGCCGAGCACCAAAAACTCAGAGCCGCCATAAGAAGTTCTTTATCTATAGCGATCTCCATAGTCGAGAGTTTGATGGCGTCGTAAATACCAAGAACCTCCCATTCTTTGCCGAAAAATTTTTCCATTCGTTTGACCCAGGCTGGCCAGGTTGCATTGGTCGAGGGCCAAGCTCCTTAGGGCCTTACCAAGCACCACTTCAACCAATCAAACCCTTACAGCAAAGGTGTCAAGCATTGGTCTTTGAGGAGGTTGGTGATGCACAACAACATTGCGTCTTTGAAAAGTGGCCTCAGGATTTGATGAATGGTGTTTAAATCACTCTCGAAGTGCAATGTTTCGATGGTGTTCTGGTCAATAAAATCCTTGCATTTGCTGTACTCATCAGAGAGCTTTGAGATGAAGGAAGCCATCGATGAAAATTCGAAGATTCTTTTGGGTCGAAAGAAGGTTTTTTGAGATGAGAGCTTGAGACTTTTTGGTTTTGAAAAAGCAGAAAAGGCGAGAGAAGATTCAGAGTTTCTGAAGGCGTAAAATTCAAATGAAGGGGACTCAGGTATTTATAGGCATTTCAAAAGGAAGATCAAACATTTGATCTTCAAAAGCGTTTGATTTTCAAATTTTAGGGCAAAATTGACCGGGAAATCCCTAATCATTTTGGATATTTTGGGACTCTCCAAGGAAAGAATCGAGGTTTTCGTGGTTCAAGGACGCACGATTACGTGTTACGGCTGATTTAATGCGAATAGGACGTTTCGACCGGCGCATGTTTTTTAGGGTCATAATTAAAAACTGCTAGGTTAGCCAAGGGGTTGACACGCGGCAAGACGTGTGGAAAATTCGGATCGTGTGATCGTGTGTCATAAATGCGCTTGACAATTGGGATGTGTGAGGCTCTTCATTATCTCATAGTTATCTTCTGGGGTTCACTTCTTCAAGGTTGAAAATCGGCCAAGGGATTCAGGGCTGAAGACCTCAGAAGTGAGGAGGCAATGTTTGGGCCCAAAATGTTATTAGGCCAAGCATAGGTTTGGCTCAAAGCTTTTCCGAGTGTATTATGTGGGCTACCTGGTGGTCCCGGGCCGTTCGACAAGGGTGGTCGAATCCTATCGCAAGAAGGAATAGGTTAAATGAGCATAAGGGTTGAAGAAATCCTAATATGATATAGGGTCCTAATGCAATTTGGATTCTCGACCAACAATGAATATGGTCTAAAAAAGAGGTGAGTTCAAAGTCCTAATAGGAGTAGGATTGGTCGAGGTAAAGTTGGAATAGAATAAGAAGTCCTAGTCCGAATACGGGTTCAACTTGACCTTGAGGAGGTTTTGTGTGGCTATAAATAGAAAGCAAAGTGCATCATTCAAGCTCCTGGAATTCAACACACAATTGTCGTGCGCAAACCTCTCAAACAACTTGAGATTTTTTCATTTTCTTTTTTCGCCAACACATCTTCAGTTTGGATAAACAGCACTGTGAAAGCAACCGGCAAACATCTTCAGTTTGGATAAACAGCACTATTGCAGTAGAAGCAACCGACCAAGGAGCACATTCAGTTTGGATAAACAGCACTGCGTCGAGGCCGACTGGTTACCTCTCCAAGTCTCAGTCGAGAAGGGTTTTCGAATCCTTATTGGCAGAGGTCATCTTATTAGCCTTCGCGGCGAAGTAAAGTGTTACGAGTTACAACATTCGGCACATTGAACGCTGAGTGGTTTTATGATTGGATACTCCCAAGTGAGTTTCAGAGTTCGGCATTTTGACGGCTGAACCACATTTATTATCAAGACATACATCACCTTTGAATACTTGTGTCCGTATAGTCTGGTGTCGATTCGACGTGCTTATACTCTCACGAATATAATCACTGTGACCGAATCTAACGCCGATGATTCGTGAACTTTACAAAACTAGCAACCTTGTCTTCAGGCTCAAGAATCCAAAGGCCAAGATTTGTACCTTCCTCGGCCACAATCGCAAGATAAAGAAGTCAGCAACGCGTTCAACGCAACATCAACAAATTTTACTCCTCGGCCGACGAGTTGGCTCGTCCCGCATTCAACTGAAGGTCGTAGTTAACTTATTAGTTACTCGACCTGCACGTCACGTAGATTTTATGATTTTTAGGATCAACAAATACATAAACTGATTTACCAAACCGGCGTTAACAAGTATCCAAATCGGGAGAAGAAGCATTAATGCGATGAAATCTTAGACACGGGCAATGCATTGAATAGTTTATGGAGTGGAGGCACCGCCATACGTAGATGTGACCTTTGCTTGCGTTTGCATGCGTGATGCGGTCGATGGATTAGTCGTATCAACCATTTGGCAAGTGACGACGGAGTAGCCAAACGGATGATCGAAGTAAGCACAAATCGGGAAAACTTTGAAACTATTGCAATTTGCAACTATATAAAATGCCTGGTTTTCCGCTTTCAGAGACCGACCTACTCCAGTTACCAAACAGACAATCTTTCTTGGTTCGACAAATGCTGCTATCAGCTGGCTGATTTACGCATACGATGCATGGGCCTATGTATGCTCAAGGTTCGCACTCGGATCTGGGATTGTAACATGATTTCAATATAAAAGTTTTAAAAATAAAATTAGACGAAAAATAATATTAAAAAATTAAATGATAAACTACAAATTTTTATTTATAATAAATTTATTGTCAAATTTGAGAAACATTTTTTATTTTTGTGTGGAAAATACTACGCAAAAATATGGTTTAACTTTATTTTTGATTTTATAAATGTACAATATTTATTAATAAGATGGTATCCGTACAAGAGAGAATATCGTGAATAGGGTGGGCTCATTAAACCATAGTTGGAGATTTGAATTCAGTTGAAAGAAAAAAAAGTACAACACCAATACTGTAACTAAACTACTTACAACTATAACTAAACTAAACTGTTTTCTCATGCATAAATATATATAGACACACACACACACACACACATATATATATATATATATATACACAACTCACATTAAATTCAAGTTTGACAAACCAGTTAACATTTTAGTACAAATCTTTGATTTTTCATGTCCACACATGCATCATCTTCAACAAATTCCATCACATGAATTTTCTCCATTTTTCTCATATCGAAACATTCAATATTTTAGAGCGGGTAATGCTAGAAAACTAAATTTTATAAATTAAATAATGTGGTTATTGATGATTAGATTGTTATTTAAGTGTTGATTAACATGTATTTTTCATTGATCACACATCATTCGATTTGCAAATTTGGTTTAAAATTTCACTCTCTCTAACATTATTTTTTTGTAGCACCATAAAATTTCATGAAATCCTAATACAAAAATGCAATAATTTTTTTTTAAAAAAAATGCTATTCTTACGATCTACTTGTACTATCATTTGTATCATCTCTCTAATAGAGATGAGATCCGCATGCTTTGATGGACCATACCTCTACTAGAGAGATGGTACAAGTGATTTTTTTTTTTTTTTTTTTTTTTTTGGTCAAACGAGAGATTTTGTCAGATTAGAGATTAGTCACCAACGATATTTGATTCGAAACCGTCGTATAAGAGCTTAACACATTTTCACTACTGTAATAAAAGATCACTTATGAATTGTACAAGTGATAATACAAATATATAATAAATGTGACATAATTCTAATTATTTTCCTCGATCATAATAAGGTACAAACATATAATCTAAAATTAATTCAACTAGTCAGATAGAAACCAGTGGTTTTGGAGCATTTTCTTGTCAGATTTCTCACTTCTATCCAAGCTAATCATCCATTTTGACATATCCAGTTCCACCGAATCACCCTCCCTCACTCCAAATTCAAACACAAACCCTCTTTTCTGATGACACACCACCCTCTGACTACTCAAATTCAACACCCCCGTTGACCTCGACTTGTTCAACGTCACCACTGACGGCGCCACCCTCATAGCCACCCCTCGTCCTGCTCCCTTCCGCACCTCATTCCCTCCCCCGGCTGCTTTAATCTCATTCACCGAGCCAATTGACTTTGACCTCCGCACGCGCCCACCAATCATCACCTCGCTCTCACCCTCGCACTCTGCGCCCATCACACTCGCTACCTTCGCGTTCAACCTCCTCCTACTCCCTCCTCTCACGCTCTTCACGTTTACAACCTCTTCGTACTCGGGTTGGTGAATCTGATGATGATTGTTTTTATCCTCCACGCTCTTCGTGTTCACGCGCCGTTTGAAGCTGCTCCAGATCGGCGTTGCGTGAATTTTCTTCCTCGCGAGCTTCAGACGCTCGACGACCTCAGCCATTGTGGGCCGCCTCTCGGCCGACGACCGCACGCACTTCGCGGCCAACACCGCCACACAGCGGATCGCGGCGTGGTCCGACGGCCGTCCGATTCTCGGGTCCAGAATCCCGGCGATGTCTCCGTGCTTTATGATCGGCACGGCCCAGTCCACCACCGACGGCGGACTGTAATTCACGTCGATGGCGTTTCTCCCGCTTAAAATCTCCAACATGAGTATTCCGAAGCTGAAGACGTCGCTCTTGGCGCTTAGATCCCCCGGCGCAAGATAGCCAGGGTCGAGATACCCTAACGTCCCCGCCGGCGGCGTACACTTAACTCGAACGTCCTCCACGTGTCCCCTTAACGCCAGCCCTAAGTCGCCGAGCCGCGCGTTCCAGTCCTTGTCGATTAATACGTTGGACGACTTAATGTCGCGGTGGATGACAGGAGGGTTCGACGAGTGGAGCGCCTGAACCGCTTTCGCCACGTGCAAACCGAACTGGACCCGCCGGGTCCAACCGGGAGGTCGGGAGTTTAAGTGGAGGAGGTCGTAGAGGGAGCCGTTGGGCATGTACTCGACGACGAGCAATTTATTGTTGTTTCTTCCATCAGCGCTGAACCCGATTAGATTGACGAGCCTGGGGTGGTGGACTCTCGAGAGGATCTCGACCTCGTTCTCCGCATTGTGAAGACTGGCCGACGAGGACGGCGCCGTTTGCGATGGCTTCGTGGTTTTCGTTTTCTTAACGGCGGCGACGAGGCTCCCGCCGTCGAGAATGGCCTTGTAGACGCTTCCGTGGCTTCCTTTGCCCAGAAATCTGTCGGCGGCGAACCGATTGGTGGCGGCGACGAGGTCGTCGTAGTAAAAGTGTCTGATCTTGATGGGCTTGTTATTGGGTTTGGGTTTGCGGGTTCTGGGTTTTCTCTTGCGGTCCCAGTTGCAGGGATCGCAGGTGGCGATTGCCGACTCTGCTTTGCACAAGAAGTAACCCATGCTGTTAAATCTTTCAGTGGATTTTTCGAGGAAGTGAGGAGGAGGAGGATGAGAGGGAGGTGATAAGGGTGAAGGTGGGAGGGGAGGGAGGAGGCGGTGGTGTGGAGCTGCAAAAGTCACTAATAATATTCACGTATTCATTTTTACTCCACATTATTTCTTTAATTTTAAATTTTAACAATTAATATTTTTCAATTTATTTGATGTAATCGTTATAAATTAAGAAAAGTATTAAAAATAAAAATAAATGTGTGAGTAATATTATATAATGCAACGAGAGAGGGGAGTGGTGCTGTGAGGGGTTAGAGCACAAGAGTAATATTTAGCTCTAAATTACAAAATTTAATTTTTAATGAGATATATTTCGTTTAGATTAAAATAGTTCAGGACTTTTTCAGGCCCCACAGCTCTTACCCACGACTCTTGAAGGATCAATTTAGAAGGAAACTCATAGCCAATAGAAGCTAGCCATCTAACAAACTTTTTTCCTTAACCTCTCACACTATTAGAAAAACAAAAATTTAAAGAGCTAAATTTCATGAATAAATAAAGCCTCTACCCCGTAGCACTTGCCCTTCCCATTAAAAATATGATATTCACACATTCTATTTTACTTCTCACACATCTTTTAATAATTTTTATCCGTTGATCTTCTTCAATTCATCCGATTCGACGGTCGAAAATTAAAAAGGTCTGTGAGAAGTAAAAAATAAGGTGTGTAGATATCACACCCCTTATACTAAACTTGCTCCTAAAGTCTTTGAATATAGTAATGTGTTGCACAGCTTTTGGTTTTGGGGTAAAGAAAGGGGAAGATGTGAAAAAAATTCGAAAGAAGTGTGCTGCAAATTTTGAACTTTGGCAAAGGTAGGTTTGTATTATTTCTAATGTCTTTTACATGCAAAAGTATGCAGCTGTGAGAGGAATTTCTTGGGGTTGTTGGTCTTTAAGTATTTAAAAGGTAATACTAAGTAGATCAAGTTTTTAAATTTAATTTTTAAATCAAATGATTTATTACTAATAAAAAAAAGTTTAAATTTAATTTTCAAATCAAATGATGTATTATCAATAAAAAATAAACACATTAATCAATACTTAAATAATAATTCATCATCAATCATCACGTCATTTGATTTATGAAATTTGATTAAAAATTTGTTCTACCATAATACCCTTTAAAGAGAGAAGTTGGGGCCTTGTGGGACATGAATTTTTGCTTCATCTATTTTTCTTAAAGACACCTAATGATGAACTCAAATTTTATGCCTAATTATTGCCATTGTACATGTAAGTTGATCTTGGTCTCAATTCCCTTCAAATTCAATTGGTTTCATTTTCTTACAGGATTCAATTTTCGTTTCATATTATTTGGATTTTACCTTTTCTATTAAATTTTCTTAGGTAGCAATAATATAGTAAGCACAGCAACAGGTAGGTCTCACTCATGCTACATAAGCAAAATTAACAAATATTTAACGAACTTGACATAATCTAAACAATATGGAAAGAAAATTAAGTTTTAGAGAGAAAGTGGAACAAATTTAGTTTTACTAAGAGAATGAGACCAAAATAAAGTTTCCGGTCTTTCCAAGAAAGAAAGAAAAAATTCGAATTATAGGAAGCATTGCAAAATATAAGACTAATTTTGGCCTAATGTGAATTCAAATTTCATAGACAATAATTGCTAAATAAAAAAGAGAAAACACATTGAAATGCATTTTTTTAGCTTATATTGAATTATAACTTTCTATGATTCAACAAATAATTTTTGTTTTTCTTTTTAAAAGGGGGACAATTGATGGCAAACCATGGTTATTCACTCCTTCCGGAGACCGGAAAACTTACAGAGGCATTTCAGCTTTCTCCTGGCCACAAGTTTGGGTTCCACACCAACAACGAGTTTCAAACCCAAGACCTCCAGTTTTTAATTTGAAGAAAGCCTTGTAATCCACCTTTTACCACTGAGCCACCAGCTCGTGGTTGATTCAACAAATAATTTGATTAATAATCCATCTTACACCATTTTTTTTTTTGCTATATTTTCTTAAACCACCACTCAGAAAAATTCAAGGTTCGAACAAATGCAGCTATCACTTCCATTTCAGCATCTTAATTACTCAATTTGGTTTCATTATCTGCTTTTGTTTGATATACGTGATAGCGTTATAGGCAGCAGTCACGGTCAGTTAAACATAGGCCACAACAGTTTATAACCCTCCCCCTTGAGTGTGTAAATATTTAAGTCGATTCAACATCATGTAGAGTTAAAGAAGTCGACTCGTCGGCACTAATTCTAGGATCAAGCTATTCTCAAATAAGGTAGGAACTTGCATAAGGAAGTAAGTCTAACAAGAAACCTTAAGGCTATGGCAAAAACCCGAGTAGGGACAAAATCCTTAGTCTAAGAAAAAATGCATGAGTAATGCAAAGTCAAATGAAACGTCTACGAGAATCATCAGGGATATGATCAATCCAAGGTGGGTGCCTCGTCAAAACCTCATTAGGTAGCAAAAACTCAGTGGGAAAAATGCCCCTAATCGTAGGGAAAAAGAGTACATTTCAAGCAAGTATACTTCAGGATACTCCCTCTGACTTTGACATAATTCCAAAGAGAACTAGCAATGTTACAACTCAGAAAGTTTACGCATACCACTTCCTTGAACAAGCTTCTAAAACGTCACCTTCAATAGTGATTTGGTGAATAGGTCATCCAGATTGTCTTGTGAACGAATTTGAGTGACTTCAATCTTCTGATGCTCTTGTTATTGATGTGAGAAGAAGAACTTCGGCGCAATATGCTTGGTGTTATCTCCTTTGATATAACCCTTCTTGAGTTGTTTGATGCATGCTCCGTTGTCTTCATAGATCGTCGTCAGGACATCAACGATGGGGTAAAGATCACAGAACTTCGAATATGGCCCATAATTGCTCTCAGCCAAAAACATTCCTGAATTGTTTCGTGTAAGGCAAGAATTTCAGCATGGTTAGATGAAGTGGTAACTAAGGTCTGTTTAGTTGACCTCCAAAAGATTGTGGTGCCTACAACGGTAAAGACATAACCAGTTTGAGAGCGAACCTTGTACGGATCAAATAACTTGCGTCGGCATAACCAACAAGGCGAGAATCAACTTGAGATAAGAAGCTGCGACATCACTCAAGGATCCGTAGGGATAGAACAAGCCCAGATCTGTAGTACCCTTAAGGTAATGGAAGATGTCTTTAACACTAGTTCAATGTCTCCATGTTGGTGCATTACTGCATCTTGCCAAAAGATTAACAGCAAAGGAGATATCGGGTCTTGTGTATTGAGCTAAGTACAATAAAGCACCTATCGCACTTAGATAAAGAACTTCAAGCTCCAAAATCTCTTCATCATCTTCCTTCGAACGGAAATGATCTCTTTTTGCATCTAACGATCATCATAGGAGTATTCAAAGGCTTCACTTTATCCTCGTTAAAGCGGTGCAACACCTTCTGGGTGTAGTTCAATTAATGTACTAAGATTTCATCCAAACAGTGCTCTATCTCAAGAACGAGACAATAGTGAGTCTTTCCTAGATCTTTCATCTCAAATTCCGACTTGAGGTGCACAGCAGTTCTCACGAGCTCTTCAAGAGTTCCGATGAGATTCATGTCGTCGACATAAACTGCAACCATCGCAAAACCAAAATGTGACTTCTTAATGAACACACAAGGGCAAAGTTCATTGGTCACATATCCTTGACTAGTCAAATACTCACTTAGACGGTTATACCACATTCTTCCAAATTGCTTCAAACTGTAGAGTGAATGCCTAAGCCGAATTGAGAGCGTGTTCTGGGGTTTGGAAATATTTGATCTAGTCAAAGTAAGTCCTTCGGGAACTTTCATATAAATTTCCATATTAAGATCCCTATAGAGATACGTAGTTATTACGTCCATCAGCTGCATACTCAGTTTTTCGAAAACTACCAAACTAATAAGGTAGCAAAAAGTAATCATATCGATAACAGGTGAATAAGTTTTGTTATAGTCAATCCCGGTGCGTTTTGAGAAGCCTTGCACAACAAGACGAGCTTTGTAACACACAATTTCGTTCTTCTCATTACGCTTCCGAATGAAAACCCACGGGTAGCCAACGAGCTTCACATGTGGAGAAGTATGAGCTATAGGTCTAAACACTTTATGTTTCTCAAGCAAATCGAGTTCGACTTGGATTGCTTGTTCACAATTTGACCAATTGATTCTACATTGACATTCATCAACGGAATGAGGTTCAATGTCATCGCTCAACATGATCTCAGTAGCTACCGCATATGCTAATGCCTCGTCGACAATCATCTCATTTCTACACCAAACATAATCCAAGCTAGCATAATGGACTGAAATCTCATGATTCTTGGGAAGTGGTTTTGTCTCTTCAAATACGCTTCCGCAATCTAGAATTTCCTCATGAGTTGGATAAAATAAGTAGGCAACAGTCGGGATTCATGGTAGGCTCTTCAGGTGCTTATGTCGTGGGTTTCCTCTTCCAGAGGTGTGAATCCTTTGAACCAAGTGGTACGCTACGTTTATGTGTAAGGGCAGAGGATTGGCTAACCGCTAATGTACGTGGATCGACTAAAGTGGGGTCCCAGGCCTCCAGGAGGGAAGTATGTCGTACATTTGGTACATCCATCTTTGCAAGCATATTCGCAGCTGGAATATGTGATCTTGTCACTCGCGCTAGATCGGTGAAAGCATTTGGCATGCTTTGAGCTACGCTCTGAAGATCTAATATGTAATGCACTTCAGTCTCAGACTGAGCGGTGCAACGATCTCAATGAGACAAAGTAGGAGTCATCCACGATAATTCATGTCGTTCTTCAGGAACGTTGACATTCTTATCTCTCCCTAACGACGGAAGACTGTCTCATAGAAGTGACAATTTGTGAATCGAACGGTAAACAGATCGCTTATCAAAGGTTCTGAGTAACGAATAATCGAAGGATAATCATATCCGACATAGATTCCCATCCTTCGTTGAGGCCCTATTTTTGTACATAAGGGCGGCGAAATCAGCACATAGATCACACAACCAAAAATACACAGATGCGATATGTCGGGTTCGTAT